TGATGGGAAGGAAACTGGGACTCAAATCAATGGAGTGGACCAGAAGGAAGAAAGAAACAACCAAACAGAAAAGAATGAAGAAACAAGAATTCAAAAAAAAAAAATGAGGAGAGAGTTAGGAACCTCCAGGATATCTTTAAGCATTCCAACATCTGAATTATAGGGGTGCCAGAAGGAGAAGAACAACAACAAGAAATTAAAAGCTTATTTAAACAAATAATAAAGAAGAACTTCCCCAGTCTGGCAAAGGAAATAGACTTCCAGGAAGTCCAAAAAGCTCAGAGAGTCCCAAAGAAAGTGGAGCCAAGAAGAAATATACCAAGGCACATCATAATTACATTACCCAAGATTAAAATGAAGAAGGGAATCCTAGAAGCAGCAAGAGATAAGGGGACAGTCACCTACAAAGGAGTTCCCATCAGACTGTCAGATGATTTCTCCAAAGAGACCTTACAGGCAAGAAGGGGCTGGAAAGAAGTATTACAAGTCATGAAAGGCAGATTGCTCTATTCAGCAAAGCTTTCATTTAGAATGGAAGGGCAGATAAAGTGCTTCTCAGATAAGGTTAAACGTAAAGGAGTTCATCATCACCAAGCCCTTATTATATGAAATGTTAAACTGACTTATCTAAAAAAAAGAAGATAATCGTGTACAGTAAAACATGTACAGCAAACTCACAGTTATTAACAACCACACCTAAAACAAAAACAAACAACAAGAACAGTAACAGAACCACAGAAATGGTGCTCACATGGAGGGTTAGAAACAGGGGAGTAGGAGGAGAAGAGAAGGAGCAAAGTTACAGAGAATAAGTGCCATAGATGGTAGGTAGAAAATAGACAGGGTGAGGGCAAGAAAAGTATGGGAAATGTAGAAGGTAAAGAACTTATAAGTATGACACATGGACATGAACTAAAGGGGGAAATGTGGGTGGGAGAGGGTGTGCAGGGTGGAGGGGAGTGAAGAAGGGAAAATGGGACAACTGTAATAGCATAATCAATAAAATATATTTAAGAAGAAAACAAAAAACACTCCCTTAAGAAATGTTGGACTGCTGATATTCTTAATGATACAATGATATCAGGTTGAACAAAGACAGTTGCTAAGTTTTCTAAATTTAAAACTGATTCAGTTGGACTCTGAATGAGAATTTTGGGGAAAACCTTAGCATATTTAGTTTATATGTACCTTTTCATGTAACCAAAGACTGACTGACTTTTCATGTAACATAAAAATCCATGTGTTGCTTCTAATCCTCACCTGAGGACATTTTTATTAATTTTTAGAGAGAGGGAGAGAGAGAAACATTAAGAGAGAAACATCAATCAGTTACCTCCTGTACACGCTCTGACTGGGAGTTGAACTGACAACCTCTTAGTGTTAGGACAATGCTCCAGCACCCATCCAGGACAAAATCCATTTAAAGAAACTAGCCTATTTACTTTTCCTATGATACAGTGTGTGAAGAATACAATAACAATGTAAATGGTGATTTGAAGCACTTCCTTGATTCATGCTAACATGCCAGCAGTTATACTTACCATTGCTCTTCATCATCAATGATAATGTCATTGATGAAAAACACAAATAATATCTTTGAAGATTTATAAATATAGTATTAACCTTGAAGACCTGCTGAAAGGTCTTGATAATCCAAGTAAATCACAAGCTATACTTTGATAACCACAGAGGTAGGATAAAGTTTTAGCTGGGTATGACCAAGACCCAAAATAAAGTGACTTACACAAAACAGAATTGTAGTTTTCCCTGCTGTTAAATTTGAGTGAGGATGGTGGTTCTGTTCAGTAAAGTCATCAGGAGCTCTTTCTATTTTGTGGCTTTGCCATCTTTGGGGTGTTGCCCTTTTCTGCATCATCCAGGTTGGCTCACCATCATGTCAGCTTTCCAGCTAGTAGGAAGAGGAAGAGGGGAAAGGCAAGGCATATCTTCAATATCGTGACCTGGAAGTTGCTCATATCACTGTCACACATGTATGTTGGTCATAACTTAGTCACGTGGCAACATCTGATTGCTAAGGAGGCTAAAGAACACAAAAGTTAAACTATGGCATTGCTATTATTTGATCTACAACACTTTTACATCCTTCTGGTTCATTCTTACAGTCTATTTTGGTTACCACATTCTCAATTATAAATCAAGAGATTTTTTCACTCTAGAAGGAGAGGGATTCCAAGGTACAATGAGCAATCCCTGCCACAGTTTTTCTCAATGAGAGGAATTTATTTAATTTAATTTTTAAGAGTTTACTATTGATGGTGTGCATTTTATGGACTTGGACAAATATATAATGCCATGTGTCCACCATTATAGTATCATACAGAGTATTTTCACTGCCCTTCAAAATCCTGTGTACTGCACCTATTCATTCACTGCACCTCCCCATCCACTGGCAACCACTGACTGGTCTTTTTACTGTCTGAAGTTTTACCTTTTCCAGAATGTCATATAGTTGAAACTATGAGGAATATAGCCTTTTCAGATTGGCTTCTTTCATTTGGTAATAGTCATTTAAGTTTCTTCTATGGCCCAATAGTTCATTTCTCTTCAGCTCTGAACAATATTTCATTGTCTAGATATATCAGTTTATTTACTCATTCAGCTACTGAAAACATCTTGGTTGCTTCCAAGTTTTGACAATTATGAATAAAGCTGTCATGAACATCCACAGGCAGGTTTTTGTGTGGACATGAGTTCCGTCTCATTTGGGTAAACACCAAAGAGTGTGATTGATAGATTATATGGTAAGAGTATATTTAGCTTTGTGAGAAACTTCCAAACTTTCTTCCAAAGTGACTATACCATTTTGCATCCTCACCAGCAATGAATGAGAGTTTCTGTTGTTCCACAACCTCACCAGCATTTGCTATTGCTCTGGATTTGGGCCATTTAATTTCATTTCTGATACAGTAAGGTATTTTTTTCCACTTCCTTCCTACTTCATTGTCTCCCTCCAATGACTAATCAAGCTAAAATGCTAATCTTGGCACCTAACATGCAAATAAGCATTATTTTTATTCTAATGTATAACAGTGGCATAGAAACACATAATCTGAGAAGGCAATATAAGGACATGTTATATTCAGTTTCACTAATATAAAATATAAAATAAATGGCATGTGTAGAATCCAGAAAAGTCACTCTGAGGATTTATAATTGATATCTACTGTATTCTTTAAAGGAAAACTTGCAAAATCTTACTTTTAAAACTTTAAAACTTCTATATAATGAAATAGCAGCATAATCAGTGATGAAAGACAAATAGTAAAATAAACTAGGAGGAAATATTCACCAAAATACGTAACAAACAAATGATTAATACATATGGTTTATATAGATATCCTAAACTACCACAAGAAAATATAAATAAGCATAGTAGTAATGAGCAAAGGATATGAACATGCAAGTGACAGAAGAAATTAAATGGCTAGTAAATAAGATGCTCAGTCTCACCAATAATTTGGAAAAAACTAATATAAACAATATTTTTATTTATTAAAAAATAAATAAAACTAAAAAATTGAAAATCAAAGATATCCAGTATTGGTGAGAGTATGGGGGAATGGATAATTCACATACATTTGGTAAGAGCATAAATTTGTATAATACATTGGTAGGCAATTTGGCAGTAACTATTTACATTTCCACTGCATATACACTTTGACTCAGCGATTCCGTTTTCAGTTATTTGTTCTAAAAATATATATATACCTGTGAATGTACAAGAATTGCAATGTTTTTAGTAATGGATGAAAATTCTAAATGCCTCAAATGTCTAACATTAGGGGAATGGCTATGCTATGAAATTATGGCATGTCCACCCATAAGTATGTATGCACAGAAGAAAATCTCCAAAATGTATCAGAAAGTGAAAAAATTTTAATTTATGAAAGTTTGGTGATGTGTGGAATACATACACTAAAATTTGTCTACAATGGTTAAGAATAGTAAACAAATTGGAGGATATAATAATGAAGGGAGACTTGCTCCATGAGATATCAAGATATACTTTAGACCTAGCCAGTGTGGCTCCGTTGGAGTGTCAGCCATACACCAAAAGGCTGTGGGCTTGATTCCCAGTGAAAGAACATCCCTAGGTTGTGGATTTGATCTCCCGATCGGGCTGCATGGGAAGCAATTAATCAACGATTCTCTCTCACATCGGTGTTTCTCTCTCTAACATTAATACATATATTAATGTTAGAGATAGAATCATTGATTAGTTGATTCTCTCAATTCTATCAATGACGAATCATTGATAGAATCATCTAATATATTAATCTATATATAGATGTATGTGAATATATCTTTTAAATGTATATACACATTTATGTATATATTAAATACATATACATATATTGATATATATCTTTAAAATATATATATATAAGATATACTTCAAGCTACAGTGATCAACATAATTGCATGCCATATTTTGTGAACTCATCACTGATGATGGACACTTGGTTTGTTTACAACCTTAGCTATTGTGAATAATGTTCTATGAAGATGAGCACACAGCTATCTCTTTGAGATCCTCTTTTCAATTATTTTGCAATATTCCTAAAAGTAGAATTGCAGGATCATATTGTAATTCTATTTAACTTTTTGAGGAATCATCATGTTGTTTTCCACAGTGACTGCACTCTTTTACATTTCCACAAAATTTCTTCATACCGCTTTCAACACTTCCTATTTTCTAATTTTGCTTGTTTGTTTGCTTTGAAAGTAGACATCCTAGTGGATATGAAATGATATATGATTATATTTTTTATTTGTATTTCCCTAATGGTTAGTTATGTTGAGTATCTTTTCATGTGCTTCCTGGCCATATATTTATTATAGGCACTTTGTTATGACATAAGAAATAAGATAATGCTAATTATAATGAAGCAAATATTTAAAATACCCCTTACCAAGGTAGATAACAATAATTGTGAAAGAAATAAATTGATCGATTGACTTTTTCTTTTGGACTTTAGGCATTAGGATTTTTGTCTTCTTATGGAATAGGAATGGAATATAATCAAGCCAAGGTAAGGTCATTCTATTTTTTCTGAAACAAAACTGACTTTTTAAAGGGACATTGAATAGAGATTCTACTCTTTAGATGAAGGGCTTCACTGTAGCACAGAGAGTAAAAGCACCAGCTGAATAGTCAGAGAAGTTTAGGATTAAAATACCATAAATTTCTTGATGTCCCATATTTCAATTTCTTTATTAAAGGTAGATAATAGTTACTTCATAGGGATCTTGTGATAGTTAAATAAAATTTCATATACAATGCCTTTTCATAAGCTGCAGAGCTCACTAAGACACCCCACAAAATGTCAGCGGTCTTTACAGAAGGAGAGAATGAAATATGGAATTTATTTTGGAGCACTTAAAAATTCATTTCTAGACTTCCGCCAAGATGGAGGTATAGGTAGATGTGCCGTGCCTTCTCACACAACCAAGTTTAGGGACAACTAAATATTAGCATCAGAAAACACAACCAGAACACGGAAAATTGAACTTTTCGGAAGTCCGTTAACAGCAAATTCTTCAGCCCGACTGGTAAGGGGCGAAACCAGCGTCTCGTGAGGAGTTGCACAGGACTCCGGTCGGACGGACCCAGGCGCGGAATCCAGATGCGCGAATCCAGACGCACGGGTTCCAAACCCAGGATTGGACCTAGTGAGCGACCGAGCAACCCACCGGGTGAGCGACTGCTGAGGAGACAGTGGGGAGGCGGTGCTGCGTGTTGACTGCGGTTGCCTATCTGCGGGCGAGCGGACAGGCGAAGGAGTGGGCGGTTGGACCGGGGCCGTCCCTGTGGCTTGCGGCAGTAGAGGGCGCCGCCATTTCCCCGCTCTGACCACGCCCCCACATACAGCGTCACATCCCAGCGACCTGGGAGTCCAAGGCGCCGCTTCTCACATTTAAAGGGCCAGAACAGACCAAAAATGTCGCAGGAAGACCTCAAAGCCCCAGAGATAAATCTAAGCGACGAAGAAATAGCAAAACTCTCAGACGCACAGTTTAAAACACTGGTCATCAGGATCCTCACAGAACTGGTTGATTATAGCCACAAATTAGAGAAACATATGAAGGCTAAACTAAGGGGAAATTAATGGAATTCCACAGGAAACCCATAGAGATGAAAAGGAAACTGGGACTCAAATCAATGGAGTGGACCAGAAGAAAGCAAATAATGGCCAAACAGAAAAGAGTCAAGGAGCAAGAATTCAAAGAAATGAGGAGAGTCTTAGGAACCTCCAGGACATCTTTAAACGCTCCAATATCCGAATTATAGGGGTACCAGAAGGGGGAAAGACACAACCACCAGTGGAAAAATTATTTGAACAAATAATAAAAGAAAATTTCCCCAATCTGGCAAAGGAAATAGACTTCCAAGAAATCCAAGAAGCTCAGAGAGTACCAAAAAAGTTGGACTCAAGAAGAAACACACCAAGGCATATCATAATTACATTAGCCAAAATTAAAATGAAGGAGAGAATCCTAGAAGCAGCAAGAGCTAAGGGGACAATCACCTACAAAGGAGTCCCCATCAGACTGTCAGCAGATTTCTCAAAAGAGACCTTACAGGCAAGAAGGGGCTGGAAAGAGGTATTCCAAGTCATGAAATCTAAAGACCTACAACCAAGATTGCTCTATCCAGCAAAACTTTCATATAGAATGGAAGGACAGATAAGGTGCTTCTCAGATAAGATCAAATTCAAGGAGTTCATCATCACCAAGCCCTTATTATATGAAATGTTAAAGGGACTTATCTAAGAAAAAGAAGTTAAAGAAACATGAACAGTGAAAGAACAACAAGCTCACAGTTATTAACAACCACACCTAAAACGAAAGCAAACTAAAAGAACAGCTAGATCAGGAGTGGACACATAGAAATGAAGATCTCAAGGAGGGTTAGCAACAGGGGAGTGGGAGGAGGAGATGGGGGGAGAAGGTACAGAAAATAAGTAGCATAGACAGTAGATAGAAAATAGATGGGGGGGCAAGAATAGCATGGGAAATATAGAACCTAAAGGACTTGAGACACATGGACATAATCTAAAGGGGGGTAATGGTGGGGATGGGGGGGCAGGGTGGAGGGGAATGAAGGGGGGAATAGAACAACTGTAACAATATAATCAATTTTAAAAAATAAATTAAAAAATAAAATAAAATAAACAAGTAAAACAAAAAAAATTCACTTCTGTGCTAGAAAAAAAGGCAATGATTAGTTTTAGTTTCAAATTTAGATTTTATATATATTTTTTTTAACTTTAGGCACTGATATATTATACCTTTGGAAGTGCTGGAGGAAGCATGATGTCTCAGATGATATTGGTTTGTAAATTAAATATTCTTGGATCCAAATATTTGTATTATAAATGTAGCACTATCAGAATATTAAGAATATATATGTCTGTGTTTTAGGGTTACAGATATTTGTCAGGAATCAATGTTCTACAGAATTGTGAAGTTGCCCTCTATCATTACAAGAAAGTGGCAGAATATAGTGAGTAATCCACATAATTTATTTTAAGATAAACAAACTTTCCAAGCAATTAACAACTAAATCAATGACAATTGACATATTTATGAAAGTATTAAAAGACTATACTTTTAACTCCTATTATAATACAATTCTTCTAATACAATGAGAGTTTTCTGATTTCTTATAGTTATTTTTCAAAGTTTTAAATGATTGTGCTTATCTTTTATTTTTGTTATTACATGTCCTCAGACAATTCTGCTTCACTTGTCCTTGTTTTGTTCTTTACTTCTACTGAGAATTTGAATGTAGTATCAATAAATATTAACATTTAGAATATGAGATGACTTGTTTAAAATGCCTGGAGAAGTGAATGTAACTTATGTACATTGGCTATCTCTATTACTAACTTGAGAACAATTCAAGTAATCACTGTTCTATTACCTTATCCTTCATCTACAAAAAAGAGAGCATGAGATTAACATAACATATTTTGCTATGTGTAATGTTTAGTACTAAACCCATGGTTTACTATAGCATATGTATAATGCATATCCTTATTTTTCCTTCAAAAATTTGAGCAAAAGTGTGCATTATACACAACAAAATACGGTATGTTTCTAGAATAATTTTCGAAGCTGTATGTAACATTTCATCTTGCAACATCACTGAACCAGACTATATGAAAAAAGTCTGCCAAGAAGTGAATAAGGAGAAGTCCATATGATTAGTTTCTATAGTCAGAACAATATCTAAATATATGTTTTTGCATTACTAGGATTTTATAAAATAAAGGGAAATAACTACTTTTGAATTTAAAATGCTATATATAACTATATATATGGTTCAAATTGCATGCTTTATCAGGTTTATTCAAGCATAGTTATCTTTATATTTATTTTCAGATTATCCATAGGAAGTAATTAAGGAGTGGTTATTGCTCTTATATTGTAGTTTCAGTTTCTGGAAAAGTCAGTAGCAGAAGGGGTCAGTTGCTTTCCCCTAAAATCTGTAAAAGCTGTCTTTTTTCCTTGGAACTGCTTGACCAAGATCTTTAGTAGGGTCTGATACATGTTGATACAATATTTGTATGGGTTGCAAAGCTTTCTTACACTTTTCTCAGAACCAAATACATTCAGCAAATTCATATCACCTGAGGATATTTCCCTTCTGTTACTAGACTAGATCTCTGCACAATTTAAAGAAAATAGGACTGATTAACAGTGTTTTCTCTAAGTGGACTGTTACCTCTTGAAGCCTTGTGTATTCTGGCTATTCTCTGGCTTGTTTTATTTACAGTTGCTGAAAAACTGGAAAGAAATGAAGGTATCCCAGTGGAAAAAGTCAGACTAACTGAGATACCTGAAAATCTGCGTTCTAACAGTGGGATTCTGGATTGGGACATATACCAATACTATAAATTTTTGGCAGAAAGAGGAGATGTACAGATACAAGTAATGTATACAGACAAGTTTAATTTTAAGAACATGCATATTACCAAGTCCTTGGTTTGTTCTAAGAACTAGAGAAGTTAAAAATGCTCCATCTTAAATAAGAAAGGGAAGTCACAGTCTTTCCTCTTTGTCCTTTTATGTCCCCTTCCATTTGCAGTTCCTATGGTCTATAAGAAAGCCAGTAATGGCAATTTGTTTTTACATTCACTCCTAAAAATTTATTTTTAAAAAGCCTAGATTTTAATTACAGAAGAAAGCACCATCCAATGTTGGTTTTAATATAAATGATCTCTTTCTTACCAGGATCTAGACATGTTCTATCTTTGGGAATGAGAATTGGATGGTGTGTGTGACCTTTTAGAGTCAAGAGTTAAGGCCTCTATGTTCATGTGTCCAGGTACTACTCTATACCAGCAGGCCACTCATTAAAGAAGCTATCTGCTCAGCATCAACAAATTACCCAATCAAAGATATAGTTTGGAATATTTCCCTGCTTATTTTTAAAAGACATGTCAAATGCATCGAAGTGAATCAATATACTATAGTAAAATCACCAAGTAAAAATTTTCTTTCCTTTATTTAAATTAACAGCACTGCTAAAATAATTTTCAAAAATCCTCTTTCCCAGGTTTCTCTTGGACAATTACATCTGATTGGGGGGAAAGGTCTAGATCAGGATTACTACGTAAGTCAATCTCAAGATTCCGTCATGTGGGGTGGGAAGGGTAGTACTGAGGTAGGATGATGGGCCAGTGAAAAAGGAAGGGGGAGTGGAAGAGTTGCTGGGGAAAGCTCGATGCTGCTTCCTTAGTCAGATCAGCTTTCCAGCTTTTGAGGAAAAACAAAGTTCACCAAAGGGAACACTTTTCCTACCTGCCTCCAAGTACAAAATTATAGAGGCTTCAGAAGGAGCCGTTGAGGCAGGGGAGTTTTCATGCTCTAAACTTTGCTTCTAAACACCCAAACACACTTTTAGACTGAGGTAAGGGAAGAAGATACTTCCACCTGCCGGCCTTGGACATTTCCCAAAGGCCAGTGATGGAAAGTCCACCTGGGAGTGTCTTACTAACAAGCCTGTGGACCAGCCTCAGCCCCATCTGGTTAAATCAGAGGACAAACGGCTTTCAATGTAATTGGAAGTATTATTAAGCATATTTATAAATTAGTATAGTTTCTTCAATCATTTTGCTTAATCTTACCTTATCTCAGTGAGGTTAGAAGATTAATTACAATAAACCCATGGAATAGCACAAAGAAAGAAGGAGCCAACCAGAGAAAAAAAAAAAAAAAAAAAAAAACCAAAAAAAAAAAAAACAATTCAAATTTAGTGAAGAAAAAGCAAATAAAGTTGACTGCACAGGATCCTCCTCAGTTAGATACTGGAGTCCTAGGATGAGATCTTGTCTAGATCCTGACCCTATATCCCCATAGATCTGGGGAAGTAACTAGGATTATTTTTTAAAGGGTTTTGCAGCCCTTGTCATTTTGTAGTAGCCATGTGCTCATTGTCTCAAAGAAACACATACCCTACTTCAACATGGTCCTAAAAGCTAACAGTAGAAATCACTTTATAAGGCAGTTATATAAGAGAGTTATCTATTGTTACTTTCCATCTCACTTTATTTATTTATTTTTCTTTTTTTATTTGTGTTCAATTACAGTTGTCCCCATATCCCCCCGCATTACTCTCCTCTGCTGTACTCACCCCATCCTCCCATATTTAATCCTCACCCTACCCATTGCCTATGTCCATGGGTCTTTTATACATACATATTCCTTGACTTGACCCTTCCCCTTCTTTCACTCATTATCCCCCACCTCCCTCCCTTCTTGTCACTGTCAGTGTGTTTTTTTATTTTATTGTCTCTAGTTCTTATTGCTCACTTGTTTGTTTTGTTGATTAGGTTCCACTTATAGGTGAGATCATATGGTATTTGTCTTTCACCACCTGGCTTACTTCACTTAGCATAACGCTCTCCAGTTCCATCCATGCTGCCACAAAGGGTAGGAGTTCCTTCTTTCTTTCTGTTATGTAGTATTCCATTGTGTAAATTACAACAGTTTTTTGATCCACTCATTTACAAAATGGGCACCTAGGTTGCTTCCACCACTTGGCTATTGTAAATTGCACAATGAACATTGGGGTGTATAGGTTCTTTTGAATTAGTGTTTCTGGATTCTTAGGGTATAATCCCAGCTGTGGAATTGCCAAGGCAAAAGGCAGTTCCATTTTTAGCTTTTTGAGGAAATCCCATACTGTTTTCCATATTGGCTGTACCAGTCTGCATTCCCACCAACAATGTACTAGGGTTTCCTTATCTCCACAACCTCTCCAGCACTAATTGTTTGTTGATTTGTTTATGGTGCTGTTGAGTAAGAGTGGAGAGTGTGGACCTTTGTCTTGTTCCTGATCTTAAAGGAAACACTTTTAGTTTTTGCCCATTGAGTATGATGTTGGCAGTAGGTATTTTGTATATGGCCTTTATTATGTTGACTTATCCTCCCTCTATTCCCACTGTGCTGAGTGGTTTTTATAATAAATGGGTGCTGGATTTCATCAAGTACTTTTTCTGCATCAATTGATATGATATTGTGATTTTTGTCTTTTTTAATTTTTAAATATGATTAATGATTGTGCTATTACAGTTGTCCCATTTTTTTTCTCCCCTTTATTCCCCTCCACCCTGTACCCTCCCTTTCACCATCATTTCCATATCTTAGTTCATGTTCATGGGTCATACATATAAATTCTTTGGCTTCTCCATTTCCCATACTGTTCTTAACCCCCTGCCTATTTTGTACCTACCATTTATGCTTCTTATTCCCTGTACCTTTCCCACATTTCTCCCCCTTCACCTCCCGCTGATCATCCTTCATGTGTTCTCCATTTCTGTGAATCTGTTCCTGTTCTACTTGTTTGCTTAGTTTGTTTTTTGCTTTTTTTGTTTTGTTTTTTCGGATTGGTCATTGATGGTTGTGAGTTTGTTGTTACTTTACTGTTCATAGTTTTTGAGATCTTCTTTTTCTTAGATAAGTCCTTTTAACATTTCATACAATAAGGGCTTGGTGATGATGAACTCCTTTAACTTGACTTTATCTGGGAAGCACTTTATCTGCCCTTCCATTCTAAATGATAGCTTTGTTGGACAGAGTCGTCTTAGATGCAGATCCTTGCCTTTCATGACTTCAAATACTTCTTTCCAGCCCCTTCTTGCCTGTAAGGGTTCTTTTCAGAAGTCAGGTGATAGTCGTATGGGAATTTCTTTCTAGGTAACTACTTTTCTCTGGCTGATTTTCATATTCTCTCCTTATCTTTAATCTTGGGTAATTTAATTATGAAGTGCCTTGGTGTGTGCCTCCTTGTGTCCAACATTTTTTGGACTCTCTGATCTTCCTGGACTTCCTGGAAGTCTATTTCCTTTGCCAGATTAGGGAATTTCTTCTTCATTGTGTTTTTAAATAAGTTTTCAACTTCTTGTGCTTCCTTTTCTCCTTCTGGCACCCCTATGATTCAGATATTGAAATGTTTAAAGCTGTCCTGGAGGTTCCAAAGCCTCTCCTCATTTTTTTTTTGAAGTCTTGTTGCTTCATTCTGTTCTGGTTGAATGTTTATTTCTTCTTTCTGTGCCAAATCATTGATTTGAGTCCCAGTTTCCTTCCCTTCACTATTGGTTCCCTGTATATATTCCTTTATTTCACTTTGCATAGCCTTCACGTTTTTCTCTATTTTGTGACCATACTCACCTATTTCTATGAGCATCTTGATTAACAGTGTTTTGAACTCTGCATCTGAGAGATAAGTGGAAGAGCCTTAGGTATTTGCCAGAATACCTAAGGGCAATTCAGGTCGCTGCATTGTGGCATGTGTGTGGGGTCAGAGCCTGAGAGGGAACAATGCCGCTTGCTCAGCTCTCTACTTTCAGTCACTTCCTCTGCTTCCCACCAGCAAATTGGGCCCTTCTGGTGCTGATTCCCAGGTGGGTGGATTGTGTACATTCTAGAACCCTGTGCTCTCTCCAGTGAACTCTCCTGTGAGGCTGGGAGTTTCTCCTGCTGCCTCAACCCCCACAGGTATTTTGAGGCTTTATTTCCCCAGGTTTTAACTTTGGGTTGCATGGTGCATCTCACTCCCCAGTTGTTTCTTCAGGTTTACCCACATTGGAATGTTGGACTGCCCAGTCCACCTGCTGCCACCTTACCTGCCTGGGTCCTCCAGCCACCACCTTGCTATGAGTTCTCTTCACCCCAGCTGCCTCTCTCTGCCCCGCCTACTGGTCTAGATGAATGTTTCTTCTTTAATACCTTGGTTGTTAGACTTCCATACATTTCAATTTTCTGGTAGTTCTGGTTATTTTTGTTTGTTTGTTTTTAAATGTGTTGTTGTCCTTCTTTTGGTTGTGCAAGGAAGCAAAATTTATCTACTTGCACCTCCATCTTGGCAGGAAAATCTAATCATTTGTATTTCTGTGTCATCAGTTGTTACTTTACTTTTTGATTTCTGATTTTGTTTATTTGGGTTATCTCTCTTTTTTTCTTGACGTGCCTGTTTAATGGTTTGTCAATTTTGTTTATCATCTCAAAACATGGATTCATCGATACTTTGAATTGTTTTTTGAGTCTCTATGTCATTTAATTCTGGTCTGATCATGTTTATTTCCTTTCTTCTACTAGATCTGGGATTTGTTTGTTGCTTTTTCTCTAGTTCTCGTAGGTGTAAGGTTAGGTTGTTTATTTGAGATTTTTCTCTCATCTTTAAGTAGTTGTGTATTGCTTTGAACTTCCCTCTCAGGCTGCCTTTGCTGTGTCCCATAGGTTTTGGTCTGTTTTGTGTCCATTTTTATTTGTTTCCAGATACTTTTTGATTTCTTCTTTGATCTCATTGTTGACCACTCATTATTTAATAACATATTATTAAGCTTCCATGTATTTGAATGTTTTTGAGGTGTTTTTTTCTTGAGATTGGTGTCTAGTTTTAAGCCATTGTGATCCAAGTAGATGCTTGATATAATTTCAATTTTCATGAATTTGTTCAAGCCTGTTTTGTGTCCTACCGTGTGGTCTATCATTGAGAATGACCCATGTGCATTTGAGAAGACTATGTATTTTTCTTCTTTGGAGTGAAGTGATCTATAAATATCATTTCAGTCCATTTAACCTAGAGTGTCATTCAATTATGCAATATTTTTGTTGGTTTTTTTGTTTGGAAGGTCTATCCAATGGTGACAGTGTAATGTTAAAATCCTCCACAATGACTGTATAGCTGACTAAATACTAAATACTAAATATTAAAATGGATAAGGCATAATTAAATTAAACTTAACAGAAAAATAATATAAACATGTAAGGTCAACTGCTTTGTCTACCTTGCTACCCAGTAAAAACAGCTAATATTGTCCTTTTCCAAGATGATTTTAAGAACCTAAGACAAAAGAAGTGCTCATAAATGTTTTTAGAGCAATATATTTTTGGCATTTTATTCTAGAGGAAATGTTACAAACTAATTAAACTGGGAATTTTCTTAGAACCAACAAAAAATCATGCCCATTTTTAAATAAAGAAATGTGCAATCAAATAATAAAACTTTACTTAGTATAATACCTGAGACATACTATATTTTATAACAAGATATCCTCAATTATAAGATACATTATTTTATGTTTAACTGAGAAAGAAAAAACACTGCAAACATAAATTGTATGATGCCATTGATGATAAGAAATGTCTTTATTAAAGGAGGATATACATCTTATAATCAGTAAAATATAATGGTAGATGCTCAGTAAATCTATGAAGGATGGATAGATGGATGGGGTCTATTTGAAGGGCTATAACAAAAATACCATAGAATGGGAGAGTTAAAACAATAGAATTTACTTCTCACAGTTTTGGTGACTGGACTTCTGAGATCAGAGTATCAGCATGGTTGGGTTAGGACTCTCTTCCAGTTTTCAGACTTCTCATTGTTTCCTCCAATAGCAGAAGGGAGGAGCTAACTCTGGGGCCTCTTTTATAAAGGTACCAATCCCATTCATGAGGGCTCTGCCAATTACCTCTCAACAGCCTCACTTCTGTCACTTTGGGCATTAGGTTTTCAGTATATGAACTATGAATTTGGGAGGGACACAAATATGCAGATCATAGCAAGTGAATGAATACTTGATCTTAACTTTTTGAAAACAAGAACTCAGGTTGGCTCTTGCATATTCATCAAAACAACTTGCATGGTATTTTTGTTCAGTGTTTAATAAAGTGTTGAAGTAATAGCTTTATGGGCAGGTTAATTTAAATAGAAAGAAAAGGTAATGGAAATGCCAAGTGAGCCATGAACATGGAGGACTATGGAACAGGGAATTTCGGAGAACCTCAATTCCTTTGGTCTTTATTGAATGGTTATATTGAAGAATGGGAAAAGCTCCAAGATACTTCTTGTTTGCTTCTGGTGAATAGATTATTATCTTTTAACAGTTCAAATCTAGTTTTCCAGAGTGAAACTTTTTTTTCTAGAACTCACTGTTGTCATACTTGAGAGACAAATTCTGAAACTGGACTTTGAAAATAATTTCATAGAATGATAATACTAGAGCTAGAATGGACCACATAGATTAAAATCCAGTCCTCTTGTTTAAAGACTTATAAATTTATTCTTAAATTCACTAAGTTATTTCTTCATTCCAGAAATATTTTCTGAGTGCCTATCATGTAATAGACACTGTACTAAGTATAGAGGATTCAACATTGGAGAAGACAAACAGTTAAGCAGACAATTAAATCAATGAATGCATAACATTATAAGGAAGGACAGCATTCTCTAGTACCACACAGAAGAAAACATGAATGAGGAAACCAAGGCCTGGAGATACAGTGATGTGCACAAATTATAGTAATCTGAGAGTATATTCGGATCTTGGCTCAATAGAGAGATTCATAAGAAATAACTTTATTTTTTATATTGGCTCTGATAAATATAATTTGTAAATCACACATTTGACTATACACTTAATTTCTTTACCCATGTTTATAAATCTTAAGAGGCTGCTATATTCTACTAAATAAAATAAAAGTCCTTAGCCTGGTATTCAAGATTGCTATAATATGGACCCATCATATTTTTTTCAAGTCTTAGGTTTTAGATATTCTACTTAAGTCATACTGAAGAAATTACTGGACACATCTTGGACATTCCCATCTCCTTTCTTTACTCATGTTATTCTCCCAGCCTATGATAACCTCTACACTGGTAAATGTTCTCCATCTTTCATGAGACCTTTATCACTTAAGGCCTCTTTCTTTAACTGAGAAATCTGAGTGCCAAGTACTTGGGGATTAGATTCAGGCTTTTTGTGGGACTCCAGTACCCTGGAGTGTCACTAAAATGGCTTAGATATTACCAATACCTTCCTTACAGTGTCATTGTGAAGATTAGTTAAGAAAAAACTTATAGCCCTGGCTGGCATAGCTCAGTGGATTGAGCACGGGCCTGCGAACCAGAGTATCAAGGTTCAATTTTCAGTCAGGGCACATGCCTGGGTTGCAGGCCAGTTTCCAGCAGGGGATGTATGAGAGGCAACCATACATTGATGTTTGTCTCCCACTCTTTCTCCTTCCCTTCCCCTCTCTCGAAAAATAAATAAATAAATAAATAAAATATTTTTTAAAAACTTATAAAATGCTTATCACAGAACTGACTACAATATGTATTATTTGATACCCCTCTAATTCTTTTTTGGTGTTCCTTTCATCCCACCTATCATCTATTGTCTTGTTGACATTTATATATATTCTTTTGTGGGCACAGTGTTTTTTATCTATGAATCACCTAGCATATAATACCCAGCATACTACCGTATATACATCAGGTTTCAATCAAGCTTTTTAAAAGATAAATGAAGAACAGAAGAGCCCTAGATGGTGTGGTTCAGTGGATTGAATGCCAGCCTGTGAACCAAATGGTTGCAGGTTTGATTCCCAGTCAGGGCACATGCTTGGGTGGCAGACCAGGTCCCCAGTAGGGAGGGCGTGTGAGAGGCAACCACACATTGATATTTCTCTCCCTCTCTTCCTCCATCCCTTTTTCTAAAAATAAATAAATAAAATATTTTTTAAAGAAGAAAGGAGATGGATGGATGAATGGAAGCATGATGTGATGAGGTCCAGCACTGGTGAAATTTGTACTTACATCCACAAGACAGACCAACTTAACTAATAAGCCTGTGGTTGTCAAATAAGTCGGCAATATTTCTAGAGCAAATTTACAAAACTACCCACATTTCTTCTTTAGGCAGTTTCATCTTTTTGGGAAGCAGCAGACCCTTGCACATCAGCCTAGTTAATGCTTTTTACAGTGCAGAAGAGTTGTCCCCTAATAAGATACTTTGGAGAGTATCTTCATTTCTCATTCCTAGGGCTGACTTTTTTTTATTACTCCATATCGTCTCTGAGGAGAGCTTCTGGGAATTCAGGATGAGGCCTATGGAATGAGGTAGCAAAAGACAGGGCAGATCTTATGCTTTCTAGACTGAGCGTTGCATCTAATGTTATAAACTAAAGAGAATCAGGTTTACTGGCATCCTTCAATTTGATTTAGAAGGAATTGGCCTCAAGTTCACCTCTACAGAAATATCTAGTCTCAGCAGGCATACAGTTGTATCTGGTCCTATTCACTCTGCCTAATAAACATTAAGATGCTATATACATAACTATGCCAGTTGTATAAACTGTCTTATCAGTACATAGTATCAACATAGATGTGTACTTTTTCAAAACAATGGCCTATTAGATGTGCAGCTGGGATTTATCTGTTCTCATTAAGCCATATGCCCATCACACCTTTCCAAGTGTGAAAAGTCCTCATATTCTAAATATATATGTGAGATACACACACACACACACACATAGTGTCTAGTAGAAGTAAGGCTTGCTTGAATGTGGTTGTTAAGGTTTGTGAATGTCTCACATAAAATGAACAACAACTTGGACATTTCCCCTAAAATGTCATATGGTGTGCTTGAGTGTGCTATTGTTATGTTACAGAATTATATGCTTATGATTTTGTAGTAAAAGATTTTGTAATAAAAAGGGGTGTTATTTGTGCTGGACTATATATATAGTCTCTAGGGTATATATATATAATCTCCAAATGCACATATATACTGAGGTTTGGCCAGAAGGTATCCAGTCATGTAATATGAAAAATAGAGATATTTACTGAAGAAGATACAAGAAACAGTGTACATAGGTTCCCTCAGTTCTCTTCAAAGTAAGCACATTGGGACCTCCCACAGTTCCCCAAATTGCCATCAGAACCCCCAACATATTCTTTTGAATCTCATCGTTGGTCTGAAATCTCTTTCCTGTCAAAGGTGATTTTAGTTGTGGGAAAAGTCAGAAGTTTCAGGGCACCAAATCTGGGCTGTAGTGGAGTAGAGTCACCTGGGTGATTAGATGTTTCACAAGAAAACTCTACATGAAACGTGAGTGGGCATATTGTCATGATGAAGCTGCCAATCACCAGTTTTCCATAGCCAAGGCCTTCTGAATCACCCAAATACTTTCCACAGAGGAAGGTTCAAGCTTAACACATAATTTAATGCAGATTCATTGCTCTATTCACTCAGTCATTTTGAATGTGATGGCCACACAATATACATGCTCACTTAGTGGCATCTACCTCCCCAACTGATTAGTCCAAGGAAATCATCATTGTTCGTGCATTTGCATTCCAGTCCACTTTCCTTGGTTGCAAGGTTACATCAATGTTATGCACACCATTCTCATTATATGAATAATGGCTGGACTTTTCCTGGACATACCTCATATACACACACATACACATATATACAATATGTGTGTTTGTGTGTGTAGATGTATATATATATACACACATATATAGTGTACATATTTATATATTCATTCTCCCACTCTTCAATTTATGGCTCAAATAGAATTTGGAATACTGCCTTGAAGAAAGAAGACATTACATAGACTTTTTTAGTGCATGTTAAATGAAATAAAGTTTTATTTGAAAAGCCATTTTGTAGAATATGTTTATGACTGTTAACAATACTCTTCCATTTCTCTCCAGAAAGCACTATACTACTTTTTAAAGGCAGCAAAGGCTGGAAGTGCAAATGCCATGGCATTTATAGGAAAGGTACATGCTTCATCTTGATCAATAACTTGCATTTTTTAAGCTAAGAAATTAATGGTATCAGTTGATTGAACCCAATGTAGGATAAAGGGATGCAGGCCTCTTTCATGGAAGCAGCTGAGAGGGGCATTTGGCTACAAAATGAGAGTAGTACCCCTGAGGAAATAGTTTTTTTAAAACCCCAGAAAACAGCAACTTTCACCTGAGACACCAAAAGCAACCTTGAAGTGCACCTGTCCCAGGATTCCTGACTGAGTATAGCTCAGAATCTCTCCCACAGTCTTTCCCCCTGGCATGTAACAGGAGATCAGGGCTAGTTGTACATCAAAGACTGGTACATTCTTCAATTCAATGAAGTGTCTTCTTCCTTCACTCCCAGAAGAAGACCTAGCTCCATGCTGACCAAAGTCCACCCTTGCGTTCCTGTTCCTGTAGAGAGGCATGTTCTTTCTTCTTCAAAGATCACTCCCTCTGCCAAGTACTGCCTTTGGCTCCCTGCAGCCAGCTTATATTTACTAGCAACCATGGGTACAAGTGCTCTGCTTCCAGAAGTGCTACATACAGTAAATTTAAATGCTAGCAAATGTGAAAAAACACAAATAGATCTTATGTCTTGGTCCTTGTGCAAGGTCACTCCGAAATGCATGTAGTAGATTGCTTCTTTAATTTTCCATTTTTTAAAAATTGAAGTGCAATCCGCATGACATAAATTAACCACTTAAAAGTGTACATTTCAGTGGCATTTACTACATTGGTTGTGCAACCTTTACCTTTATGTAGTTCTAAAACATTTTCATCACCCTCAAATTTCTTAGTTTTTTACATCATCTTTTGATTTTTTCTAGATGTATTTAGAAGGTAATGATGCAGCACCACAAAATAATGCTACTGCTTTCAAATACTTTTCCATGGCAGCCAATAAGGTATGTACCCAGCCCATTTCTGCAAACACATTAAAATACTTGGCTTCTATTACATACAGACTGGTGCTGAAAAGTTGACTCCAAAGCCTCATGCCTGGCTAACAGGCCTATGAGGACTTTTGTGTCTAAGAGAATGAGAATATTGTTAACTATAAAATATGGGATTCAGGTCACAGGAGAAACATGTCTTCTTGGTAAATAGAAAATGCCAATGGCTTGTGCTATCCTAGCAGAAAACCAGAGATAAGCTCAGCTCTCCCCTCTCCCATGCATAGATGAGGCCATCTAACTCAGAAGACAAGAAGTAAAATACAGTAGATAAGGACAAAGGAAGGAAAAACTCAATCAATAAAGCAGTAACTTCAGGACAATAACAACCAAGAAATGCCCAGTTTTCTCCCACTGGACCTTGCCCAAAAGCTGGAAATCCCTCTGGCCCAAGAAGAAAGTTGTCAGAGAGCCAGGCAGGACAAGATGATTGAGAGCAAGGCTCTGCAGACATTTGGTATGAATGCCAACCCTGCTACTTACTAGCTGTGTGACTAGGTATCAGGGGGGCTCCATCCCAAAGAGCTTCCCCAGCTGCCAGGATGAGAATAAGCCTACCAAGACATAATTTGCTTGGGGAGGAAAGGCTGACCAGTCTCTCAGAGGAGAAAGGCCTTGAGCCTCTTTCTTGATGGGCTTTTATTGGATTTAATTTGCATATGAATACAGGGCATATATGTAAAGCTCATCAATCATTGTCAGGCAGTCAAGATCAAGGAACAGATAACATTCAAAGAACTATAAGGGCTTATTCTGAGTCAAGGTCAGATAGAATGACGCTAAAGGGCCATAAAACTTTGAAAAACAAACTCATTTTATGCTGGGAACCTTAACATTTGAAAAACAAACTCATTTCATGCTGGGAACCTTAACATTTAAATTGAGGGCATCCTTAGCAAAGCAGGTTTCACAGGATTTTATGCATTCTTTCTTAGCCTTGATTGCCCCTAGGAACCTCCTGTTTCAGCACAGGGCCTCACTACCTCCAGCATTGTTCTAGGTTTAAGTCAGGCAGGAGAAGTAAGGCAGCCAAGAGATTAAGAGACCTTTTACAGACAGAATGAGGAGGCTATAACAAAGTTGAGGGGTGAGGGTCTTTTGTCCCTCCCCCATAATCCCCTAAACCCTTCCCTGATGGCTCCTTCCTGACTGTGCCTGTCTTAGGTTGTTCCTCCCTTGAGGCATTTTACCCATCACTCACTATCCAGCCATCATCCAGGGGCCAATCAGGGTGAAGTAAAGTGGGTAGAGGCCACCTGGCTCCTTAGTGGCTTATGGTCCCAAGGTCTTTTTACTCAGTCTTAGCCATGGAGGGGTTACAGCTTCTGAAACCAGGCAGGGCAGTTACCAACAACTAGGGACAAGTTACTTAATCTTTCTGTGCCTCAACTTCCCCACTTATAAAATGGGAATAGAAATATTTGCCTTGTATTATTGTTGTCAAGATTTATTGAGTTGACATTTCTGTGCTTCCTATTGTAAAGTAGTTAAGGCACTGCCTGGCATATAGTAAGTGCTATGTGTCAGTTATTATATTTAGTAGCCTGGGCCAGTTAGATAGAGTGAACTTCAAAGTGTATCCAAGGAAAAAGGGATTGGGTATATGAGGGAATATATAAATGGTGTTATACTGAAATTTTTTGCCTGGTTGCTAGGTTCAGTGAAACTGGTATCTGTCAGATAGAACATAATAGACTACCCTGAATCCCTTCAGTATGTAAAGAGCTCCTAATCACAATATTCATCAATTTAACAGGTGAAAACTTTCTGTCGCTGCACAACAGGAAACATTTTATTATTTTATGTCATACTGCAATACTAGCAGTAAAGATATGCTCAAATCAGGGAATATTATCAACTGCTCTTTTTTGAAACCCACATGCTGCTCTTGGAGCTTAAATATAAACAACTAGCACTTCAATGCTGCTGCTATTGTGGCATAAATTACTGAGAAGACCGGTACTCGACTCCTCTCCTTTGTAATTTATATGAAATTGTTGCTCAGCAAGACAGTTATCTGGTGTAGCATTAGATGAGGATGACAAGAAAGAGCCAACCAAAAAAAGGGGTACTATAATAGGAAGATGTCTTATAATCTGGCAAATAATGCTGATTTCTCAGCTCAAGGGAATGACGCCAGGAAGTTGAGTGTGTAAAAGCAATTCAGGGTTGTGTAACCAACAGTGATCTAAGTTACTCTTGTTCTAAACCTGAGCTACCTTCTCTTACAAAGGAAATCCGACATTGTATTTAAGGTAATTGCTCTGAATAGCATCAGGTGGACATGGCCATATATTCCTTTATTATGACCTGGACAATTTCTGAGATTTCTCACTTGAGGTCAAAAGTAAAAGGTGTCTGTCTTCCACTCTTTGCACACCCATACTCTTCTTTTACTGATTTTTTTTAATTGCTTTTCAATGATCTTGAGTAAAATCAATACCAGGATGCAAAGATACAGACTTTATAACTCTTTTCTCTTTATTTACTCAGAAACATGAACATTTATCCAATGATACTGAGCCCAAATTTGGACTATATTCTTCTTGTTTTCTCTCTCAAACCTCTAAACATACCAAGTCCATCCCCATCCCCATGCTTTTGTCCTTCCTTCTCCCTTTCCAAATTCATATTCTGAATCCTACTCATCCCCTAGAGCAGAGTTTAATCCTCTCTCCCTCAACAAAGCCACCCTTACCCTTCTTGGCTCCTGTAATCTTCTCCCTCTTCTGAACTTGCCCTGCACTCATGCTACATACTGCTAGAACTTTAATTCTTCTACGTTAGGGCTTCTCCCCTGCTGTCTGAAGACCAAATCTTCTCAACTAGAGAAGGGCTTCAGTCTGGGTACATAGTAGGAGTTCATTAAATATTTGCCAAATAAATTATTATCTCCTCCCTAAGTTCGTGTCAATTAACCTAAGGGCCCTAATGTGGAAGTTATATTTGGGGTGACTGCTTACACAAACATTAAGGTTGACCCAGAAAGTGTTTTTAAAATTAAGGAAATTTTATATCAAAATCTGGATATCGAAATTGTCTTGGAAAATGGGAAGAGCTGACCATATAAAGGATGCTATTCCATGTAACAACTGCGTGGAGAGGATCCAAGATAGTAAGTGGTAAGTGGATGTTACACTCACCTCCTCCCAGGGCCAAACTGAAACTATAACTAGTATATAGAACAATCATCCTGAATAACCAGCTAAAGACTAGATGAACAGAAGTCTTATAACCAAGAATTTACAGAAGAAGCCCCATCAAGACTGGGAGGAAGGGCAGAGGCATGAAGAGGGCTAATCCATTGAACATGGGTTCAGTGGCTAAAACTTCAGAGGTATATCTTGGCTGTACAGTTTCCCCTGAGAAGCATGGGGTCTCAACACCGAGGCAGGCTCCTCAGCCCAGAGCACAAGAGCCAGGAAGAGGAGCTCATATACTATCTGGCTGTGAAAATCAGCAGGGATGCTGTCTGCCAGGGAGAGATGAGAGCCTGCTAGAAACCCAGGCACTCTCTTAAAGGGCCAACATATGACACCTTGTTTGTAGTCACCACCCTTGGCTCTGGCAGAGTGAGGGCAGCTCAGAACAGACTGTTGTGTGGGAAGAGACTGGATTATGTGGCTCCAGAAAGAGAGGTGGAGGGAAAACTGCCAGGATCCCTGTGCTGAGTCCCTCTCCCACACTGCCCACAGCTGCCATCTTTCTTGAGTTGAGCACTCCCCTCCATAGGGCATCAGCCTGGAGGATGCAATAGCAACACTCTCTTGAATTACTGTCACCTCACCCTGCTAAGCTCACACACTGCAGGGAAGTCAGGTGCCTGGACATGTGATGTAAAGGTCTAGGTGGACTTAGGTCATATCAGAGACTGAGTTGTGTACCTCTGAGACACAGGCTACTCCTCTTCTTCCTGAGAGCCTGACTGGGCTGACACCTCATGAGAGATTAACTAGCTCCACCATCCCAACTCCTTGCCACCTCACTCTGCTGAACTCAGGCTCTTGAGGAAGTCTCAGCAGAATCCAAGACAGACTGAGTCATGTGACTAAGGTGAGGGCCAATTTTTCCTCAAACTATTCCTTGTTGGAAACCACTCTGCCTGGTTTCAGGAGTTATAACTACTCCCCATGGCTAAGGATGAGCAAGTGACCTCTGGAATGCGAGTCACAGGAGACAAAGCTGGTCTCTGGTAGCAAACGCTGCCTCGGCTTACTCCCCTGCCCCCAAAACATGGTCCATGTTAATGATGGGTAAGACTCCTCACAGCAAGGGGCAACCCAAGCCAGACATGACCACTTGGGAGGCCATCATGGAAGTACTCTGGGGGCTGCGACAAACAGGGAGCAATGGACCCTTGCCCCCCCCCCCAGCTATTCTGACATAGCCCAGGTCCCCATGTCCTCTGGGAAAAGTGCTTCCTGGCTTTAATCCACTTAAGCCTGAAAATATGTGTGGGGAGGTGGAGCACCTCCTTGCCTTGCTAGAGCAGTATCTGGGGTAATCAGGCATAAGAAAGAATTCCTAAAAATCCTGTGAAGCCTACTCTGATAAGAGTGCTTTCATTCATATGTTAAGGGTCCGAGCAGGAAATGAGTATGTCTCCCAAAGTTTCTACAAACCCTCTTTCCTGACAGACACTGACTCAGACTAAGTCCTCAGATTTCTTTGAAATGTTATCTACTGTTTGATCCTTGCCGCCCTGTATTCCTGTGTATTACAGCCCAATAAAAGCCTCTGGAGGAAGGGGCTCCTGGCCTTTTTCCTCTGAGAAACTGGCCACCTCTCCGTCCCAAGCAGATCATGTCTTGGTAGTGTTTACTTTCATTCATGGCAGACGGGAGCACTTGAGGGCAAAGTCACCCCCACAATTCCTATGTAGAGCCCTCCCTTTATATGGCCAAATTGGTCTATTTGGACCTCATAAGCTCTACAGGACTCATCTTGATGAC